GTGACATCTGGAGATTAACAGCTATTACAAGCAGGCTAGAGGACTATTATTCAACTTCCAGAAGCACCAACTATGGCGAGCAGCAAATCCTGGTGGGAATCTGCTTGGAGTTTTGCCAGAAGCTTGATAGCAATCCAGAAAAGAATTGAAACAGCACCTCATCACAACTAGTACAAGAACTCTGGGGAAAAGACAAAGGTTGTATGCAAGTTTGAGACTTTTGTTTGAACCGAGTATTAAAAAAACCTAAGTCTTCCCAAAGGTGCTTTTTCAAAAGGCAACTGGATTTTGTTTTTTCCTTTAAGATGTTTCACTTCTCATCCAAGAAGCTTCTTGAGTTCTGATGAAGCTTCTTGGATGAGAAGTGAAATGTCTTCAAGGAAAAACAAAGAAAGCCCAGTTACCTTTTGAAAAAGCACCTTTTGGATAACCATGACCTGGATGACTGAGAATCTCCACAAACATTTAAAAGACTTAATATAAAGGAATGAGTATTACAGAGATACTTAGGAGGCAACATCACCTTGCAAAATCTAAAAGGGTGGAATTGACCCAGAATAATGCCCTGTAGTTGGGGTAGGGGTGAGCTGCAAGCATTGTGTACAGATTTACTACATGGTGGTGTGTCCAATCCTTGGAGATCAAAAAACTCTCAAAAATGGCTAGGTTGGTGAGAAATTGCAACATTATGCAAAAGCTTGGATGGTTCTTCTAAACCAGGAATGGGAGTCGTGCCTGTTCACTAATCATTCTGTCATGCCCCTGGTGGAGACTGACTTTGAGGGAGAGGAGGAACAGCTGACGGAGTGGAAGTGTGGCTCCAGAGGTTGTGGAGGAGGCTGGGGAAGGGCAGAGGCCAGCTGAGCAGTTGGAGGAGGACCCAGGCTCATCCCCTCTCCATCCTAGGGCATGCAGGGAGGAGAGGATAAGGGAGAGATGTGGTCTACTCAGGAGGAGAGGGCTTTGATCCTCTTCATGGGCTGCAGCTGTGACAACTGAATAAGAGGACGGATCTGCATAGGGGTGAATGCTGGAAAGAAAGCATGGAAATATCTCTAGTTTGTGGTTCCTCTCTGAGTTTGGCGTCCTTCCCAGTGTGTGTTCTGTTATTTGTAGACTCCTCCAGCTCTTATCTTGCCTGATTTGTGTTGCTTTTTCCCTTTTTCTTGTATCTGATTGGGTTGGAGTTTTTTGTCTTCTATCAAGGATATTTGGAGCTTGGAAACAAAGTGAAGGAATAAAAGGGGCTTCACCTGTTTTTTGTGACTGTTTGTTTTGTATCCCACCGTGGGTCATCACACATTCCATGGTCTATCATCACAAGAGGTTCTTGTAGTTTATCTCACAGGTGATAAATGTTCTTCCAGTGGTTGTTTTGGAATACAAAAAAAAAGAAGACAACTAATTTAGATGTTTTGTAGCAAGATTTCTCTAACCCTTTAAAGTTGCATTTTATAGGGACTTCAGAGTAGAAACCAGCACTCAGTTAATAACTGCAGTAGTTTTCGTGTTTTGTGCTACTGATATCCCTAAAATGAGAAATGAATTTGAGCAAACATTTCATAGGACAAATTTAATGATC